GAAGAAAGTTCAATGGCGCTCATATGACCTTATGCAGTAGCGAGTGCAATTAACCGTTACACCACAGACACGGGTGAATCACTGGCTAGATTTGTAGGCATTCTATACCACAAATGGTACAAGTACTATCATTAAAAGGGGACCGGGGCTCATCGTGGCCTAGAAGTTAAGGTGTTCGTCTCTCATTCAAAGGCCCTGGGTTCGAATCCGGGTAGCGACCGAACAATTTCCTTCTCTAAAATGTGTCTCCTTTTACCTGCTTTCCTGCTCTCTAGCAATGGTCTGTCTTCTGTTTTCGTCTCCACTTTCTGCCTCCACCCCCTCACCTCCTTTGCCCCCTACTCTAGGCTCCTGACTCTTTCTGCTGCCTTTCTACTGTTGCTTCCTTGGCTCCTTCTTACTGCTGTCTTTCAGCCACACGCCTGATTTTATGGTAGGAAAGATCTACACCTAGCCTTCTCGGACAAGGGCGTAAAATCTCGGAGGTCTCGTGTGCAAGTTCCTCACGTTAAGGATCCCTTGGTGGTCTAAAATCGATACCACTAGGCTTCGGCCGCCACCGGTGCACAATTCAAAATTTCTTACCAACGGAAAATGTTTAATGTGTCCCGCGCACTTATATGACCTTATGCAGTTGCGAGCACCGTAAAACACAACGAACCCCCCCCCCCCCCCCCCCAAACCAAAAAGGGTACGGGCTGGTTTCACCTTGTCTAACTGCCGCGCCAAAAAACCCAAAATGTGCGAGGTACTGAATCTCAGCGGATCTCTTTGTTTGTGTAAAGAGAAGTCCATCAACACAATATATGGATCATTTCACAAGGAAAAGGGAAAACAGAAATGACAGAAGGGAAGAAAAAAAGTATGGCTTACCAGTGACACCCTCCAACAACACACCACCCCAATATACAGATGGCAGAGATAGTAACAAAAATAAATTTCCAGTAATAATAATAATGGGTATCAAACTTGCGTCACATGCGTACGAGGCAAAGAGCCCAACCACTACATCACAGACACCAGCTGTCTCTCGAAACAGTAGCTTTGTAGGCCTATACCTATACCTTATGCACGTTTCTTTGTATTAGTAAGAATTTTACGGCACTTGCAACACAATGTAAGTGCCGAAGATCAGAGGTGTTACAAGAGAGTAACAAACATAAAAAAGAAGAAGAGATAAAGACAATAGATGTTTGATAGGAAAGCGACGAAGCAAACTACACCTGAGAACCCATCTTATACACGTATATCAGACACCCAACAAGACAAAGGACAATGAAGAATAAGAACAGCAGAAACCACAAAAGTAAAATTTTAGATTCTTTATTTTTGCCCTGGATGTCACTAGTAGAAATTGGGGGCAAACAAGCTCACTCAAATATCATTACGAATTATTACAAACAGTGCACATGATGGAGAGAAATTAATGAAAATAAAATAATACAAATAACAGAGAGTAAACAAAATACCCAGAGAGAGAGAGAGAGAGAGAGAGAGAGAGAGAGAGAGAGAGAGAGAGAGAGGGAGAGGAAGAGGGAGAGGAAGAGAGAGAGAGAGAGGGACAGACAGACAGACAGACAGACAGACAGAGACAGAGACAGAGACAGAGACAGAGAGAGAAACAGAGAGAGAGAGAGAGACATTCAAAACAAGACCAAAAAATGCCTTCATAACTTAGGGTGGACCTAACTAGAAGAAGTTGTGGTTTTCACAGTTATAACAGTATGTGAGGGTAACAAATCCTGTATATCACCTACACAAAGCTCTGTGGGTGGTTGGCGGGTACTCTGGTATGGTTTATTCCTTCTTTTCTATCAAAGATCTATCCTCCTTATCTCCCCTCCTTCTTTTTGGGGGGTTTGTTACTTTCTTGTAACACCTCTAATCTTTGGCACTTATATAGCCTTATTTTGGTGCAAGTGCTGTAAACCTCTTACTTATAAACTAAACTAAACACAAAGCTCTTTGAGAAAAGATTTAAGGCTTTCAGTTGGCAAGGCCTATGTCAATGAACTAAAATGTTAAGATTATGCATATAGAGGATGTCTGGTTTATTTCAGTTCACTAAGCTACATCATAAATGATTCCTGAACATAAGTTGCATAATTAGTTGAAAGCCATTATCATGAATAGTATGTTTTATAGTTCACAACAGAAGCTGGTAATATTATACTGAATCATTAATCTTCAGCATGGAAAGATTATCCCGTTTTATAAGATGTACAAATAGATACACTAAGCATTGCTGAAGTAGTATGCAAACATTTCATTACCTACTTAGGACTTATTATCAAAGGCCACTTGGGTCTTTAGGGGTGGGAGTTAGTACACTACTGTGGCCTGATTATAATAGCTCATGGTTTTTGCAAAAACAAAGAATAGATACGGGTTTAATACCCCTTTCAGCAATGTAAGGTTATTTATGAACAGGACACCTCAAATTTCACATCTCTCGTAAGATCAAAACAAGAGCGAGAAGAGCCCAGCAAACTGTCCAAGTTCTAGAACCTCTGGTCGGGGATTCGAACCAAGATCATCCGCATCAAAATCCAGCATTACACCAGCAGAGTTAATGGTGCTCCCATTACAATATAATACAGGTATGATGAGCAAAGAATAAAGTATACAAGTGAAGTATGAGCTATTCTTTACAGATGGATGCTGTAGGTCACCACAGGGTAAGAGAAAAATCTCTTATTGTACCATGTGACTCAGGGTTTCAATGGGAATGATCAATCTCTATTTTAAAAAATCAGGAGTGTAAGTGTGAGTTGAGAAAAACATTAACAGGACATCACACTGACTCATATACCATACAAAAGAACTTTCTTCACTATCCCCTTAAGTCCAGGATAGCCCACAGAAATATCCATGAACTTGTCTGCAACTAGAATCTGCTTTTTTTTTCTCCATTCGGTAAAACGCCGACTTTTTACAATATTTATAATATAAATTATTATTTTTGCCAGTTTCAGGTCAACTATGTAATAAAACATGAGCCTTTACAAACTGTTCTCAGTACAGAACTTAAGCAGTGCTTGAATGAAAGATATGTCTTCCAAAATAAAACTCTTAACATGTATTCATACGTTTTTTTAAATATAGCTTTTAAAACAAAAACATGGAAAGAGTATGAGTTCATGCACTAAAATAGACGCAGACAGACTTACATACTATAGACAGAGATATAAACATATTTGTGTCATGACGTGGTGGAATCAGGCGCTTGTCAATTTTTGGGCAATTGGAGTTATTGATACCATCTTAAAGCCTGTTAATTTTTCACTCTTTCAATGAAAAAAAACTCCCATCTATCTTGAAAAGAAGTCGAGACATTCGCGACTGAAGGAGGTGGGGTTGTCCGATTTCAGAGATGTAGCTCGAGAGTCCTTGGAAACGGAAAATCTAAATTATTAGTACCTTTAATCAACGTTTTTTTGATAAAATCCCCAAATAAATGTGTTTTTAAATGGACATAAAATTTGTTAAGCCAAAAAAAAATTCTATAAAAATTGCCAAACCAGCGAGAAAATACCCTTCTCTTCAGTTTCATTATTTTGACGAGTGCCTGATTTTACCATTGTGCCTCACATATCATTGCATGCACTCCGTATTGGCTTACCTGCTGCAGGATATAAATCAATACACAACAATGAGCAGATTGAAACGAAATGAGCTTGTTTTCACATACACACAAGCACACCAACACATATGCATGCACATGCTTACAAACACACACATACACACACACATACACACACACACATACACACACTCACACACACACATGCTCACATACACACACACAAATATATGCAAGTGCATACGTGAAGAGTTTTCAGGCAAAATGATTCTGTGCCATTAATGAACTTCCAATCAAATTTCAAGGGACTGATTTTTTAAACAAAAATGTCTGTCAAAATGGTTCAAATATTAAAAATCTAATTCCTAAAAGGAAATCAAATTTGACAAATGCTCACACTGCCTACTGTCAACTTTAATAAAGGGAGGTTCTGATCAAATTAAAGTTAAAGCTCCCTGACATTGGGTAGAAGATTAGAATTGTACTTCTGTACCAACCAACACCATAGTATGGTCTCCATCTCCCTTTAAACCTATCCGTACGCATGGGGTCATTTTGTACCCCAGGGGTTGTATTCTTCACATTTTAGAATACTTCTAGTGTGAAGGTCTTTTTGAAATTTTCAGTATTTCTCAAAAAATCATTTTGACAGACTGCTATGCAAAGTGTACAGATCAGACTAACGAGTAAATTTCCTCTTTGGAAAGTGGGGGCACAGAATTCCCCACATCATATGGATACGATAGTAAAACACGACGTACATATAGAGTTTAAAAAATGATTGACATAATTCAGGGGACGAAAGTATGTTAATACAATATCTTAACATCTTTCTCGACACTGTTACAGCAGATAGAAACCATTTTGCCTTAAATCTCTTCACATGAACACATTTACGGGTTTTTGGTCCTCCACTATTTGATTCTTAAAAATAGAAACAACATGCATTATCAACAATGAGCATTGCAGGAAAAGAGTTCACCGTTCCTTAAATCTGAAGACATACTCAGCTTGCCACTAAAATCTTTTGACTGGCACAGACTTTATTCAAAACATTTTAGGGTAAAAGTAAATTTTAGCTCCCCCGCATCTTCATGCACTTTGACAACCACAGCATGCTGTGTCTTGTTCCTATAAGACATAACCGCTACCCCACTGTTATGCCCGACGCAATCCTGGATGTAGTGGATCTAGGGCAAACAGTTCCAAATGGGGGATCAAACTTCACTTTTACCGAATACAGAATCATGATTCCTTTTAGAAAGGTGAATAAATCCCCCCCCCAGCTAAATGAGATAACAAATGTTAGTATACTCTTCAGAGTGACAACAAAGACAATTCAAGCCTCTGAGACAGTGAAGGCAAAGGATTTTCATATTATAAATTCACAAATTCCTGAGTGACCTTGGTCCAACAATTGAATGAGTAACTTTGTTTAATCAACAGAGCGCAGCACAAACATACAGCATCCAACACTACATCAATCAAAGTCAAATTTGTTCAAACTATCATTATGAACTACGTGCAGAGAGGGAACAAGACAATGAATGGAAGACAAAAAACGAAAACAGAAAACATGTAACAAGTAACTTAATCTCAAGGAACAATTTCAACAACTTTTTAGTTTTAAATGTACATGTAGTTTCAAACAGCTGAGGAGAGGGAAGTTATTAGTGATGATCATATATCTGTTGAAAGTTGGTTTTCCACAATCTTGCCCATTACTCTAACAATATATAAAATTTATAGACAAAACAAGAGGTTATTTTTCTGTTCCTCAAGTTGGCCTATGGCAACAGACTTGAAATCTACCTGAACTTGGTAACGTGGAATACAAGAGAGTGACACTAGTTCTATTTAGGGAAACGCTACTACATGCTGACCACATAGGTCATGAAACAGTGTATATGTATGCACCATCTACATAAGCGAGTACATCCTTTCCTAATAAATTAAAAATAACAATATTATGTCACAAGTAAAGCCTACAAGATTATTTAAGTATAGACAATTTTTCTGTATGTATATGAACATAGGTACTTCGCATCAAATGTGTAAGGCCTACTTTTTTGCTCTTTTCCTGTAATGCACGCTAAAATATCTTCGTTTTGCAGGCTCATTTAACTTAAGGTTTGACAAAAGATTTCATATTTAACACCTTTCTTTTCTTTTGAAAAAAAAATGTATTGGAAATTATTAGTAGATGTTGTTAGTCAACAAGAAGAAAGATACTAGCAACATTCACTTGCACAGTTTATGCCTTACGAAGATGCACTCATCATGGTTCTCTGTGGTACTGGCTTATAGTCATTAATACATTATATTGTATCATGTACATGCAGTTGTATGGAAATGAGAGAGAGTAGATTTGGAAATAGTACAATTAAGGGGTAAAGAAATAAAGTAGACATTTTCTGTTTATTAACTTGATGTTTTTGTTATAGTAACACTCAAAAGAGGATACAAGGGCCAATTAAGGGCATCAGCCAGGGACAAAACTTTTCACAAAAAAAGAGAAAATTCTATTCCATTCAACTGTGACCCTCTGTGCATCAGTAAAGAAGCCAGCTGAGCCACGGAGACCATCACTGCTATTCAGAATATTTTTACATAATATATTCATAAAATGGATAACTCTACATAAGCTTGTGGAGATTACAGTCTTCAGTCACAGGTAATTCATAATTTATCTAATTTTATAATGAAAAGAACTGAGAAATATAAAGACAAAAACAGATTAAAAACTATTACAATGCTACGAGAGTAAAAGCAAAAGATGTTTCCTGGTTAAGTAATAGCCATGCACTGCAACACTGTGAATGCAGCAAAGTAATCTTAGCACTAGGACAAAGATAGGGACAACAGGCAAACTCAAATAACTCGACCCCTCCCCCCCCTCCCAAATTTCATCACAATGAAATTCTAAAGTCATACTAGACTGATTTGTTGGGGGGTTTTTTCCCTTAATGTAGGCATACCCTACTTCAACTGTCACAGATGAAAGTCAAAAGTTCACATTTTAATTTCACATTATTACACAAACATTCCCTCCAGAAAACTTCTTGCTATTTTGCTCCTTGGTATGATCAGAACAACAGCAATCACCAAATACTCGATGTCATTGCTTTACAAAACCCCAGCGATGTTGCATGAGAATGACATTCCTCAGAAGGGCAAGGTTTCATGAGCATTTCTCACAACAGTGTCCCGGTTTCACTTCACTTCAAAGCTGTGCGTGGGTCGCCTTATGGAACATCTTAAATTTTACAATCAGCTCATGTTTAACATAATTAGACTGAACAAAACAAAATGCACAAATCTCACTTTTGAAATAGCTCAGCCTATATATTAGACTGAGAACAAAACAAAATCTACAAATCTCACTTTTGAAAAACTCAGTACAATAAAAGGTATAAAATGCAATTCAAACATGTGAAATTAAATATTCTCACAAGTGAAATTAACAAAAGCATCACAAATTCACGATACATACATTATTTTGTAAGGGCATCTGAAGACGTCCCTCACACATGTAAACAGAACTTCATTTATACCATTCCTATGACTATTAATCTTTTTTCAAGCCATAAAACTGTTTCTCTACACTGTACATAAAACCAAATAATTTAGTTAGACTGATCTTTTCTTTTCAGTCTTAAGTCCTTTGAAATTGGGGTAAATATGAAAAGGCACTAGTTGTACACAATCTTTACAAATGAAGCCCTGTCTTCCTCTTTCTTTTCACTGTAAATGTATTTCAAGTAACGTTCATTTTTACTTAAACTTTTCGGTAAATACCAGCAGGGAGTAAAGGACAACTTTTTCAGATCCCTCTTTTCTGTAGTTTTACAATTTTCTTTAGGACAAAAAAGCAACTACTTTTTCCGAGCCTAATGTGAGCATCAGGTACGCAGTATGGTTACTCATACATATTCCATGCCATTAAATATACATCACAACAATTATTTAAGTCTACAACTACGTAACAGAGAAATCAACAACACCTGGAGTATTATAACATTAAGTCGTCCAAGGAAACAATTCCGAGTTAACATTGAGGACACCTAAAATCAACTGATCGCTTTCACTGAGACAAAAGCCAGTCAAGCCCCTCAAGCACCATGCGATTCTTCTGTATAGGAAAGAATCCTTGACAAGGAAGACAGCCTTGGCTAGTGCTCTAGGGTAGACACAACCCTTCGTAATGGAGTCCGCGGCTGCTGGGGTCGCAGAAGGTCACATGACATCCTATTGTCTGCGGAGACAAAAAATATGAATTATGAATAAAAGAGGTTGCAAATTACAAGTCGTTTTACCTTGTTTGGCAAGCTGAAATTTATTTACTGTACTCGAGCGAGTTTCTCTTCATGCTGTATGGATCTCATTTTATCACACTTTGTGCATTCAGGGCTGTAGTTTTAGAGTAAGAAAAGACACCAAACAAAGTCTTATGAAGAAGAAAGAAGACAGCAAGATGTACCAGAGGAAAAATAAAAAAAGCCAATAAACTTCCTCACAAAAAAATCAAAACGCTTGCTTTCTATCGAACAATAGCAGATTATTTAGAGATAAAAGCATACATACAACTGAACAATAAGGTACAATTTTTTTTTTTAAGGATTCAATCTACAACCAATGGAATGAATTCTTGCTCAAAATTTTTCTGCAGCACTGAAAGATGGAAATCTTTCACCTCAAAGGTATTTTTACCAAATCACCTGTCCTCTCATAATGAAAAATCCATGCTCCTGGAAACCGACAAGAAAAACATTAAGGCGGACACTCACTGACGTAGGAGTTAGCACTCTTTCCAAAAAAAAACTTTAGATGTTTTGCGACAAAAAATCTCTTTATATCACAACCAAACTGTGGATAACATTTGTCCCACTTGTCAAACCTGCCCACTGCTCTGAACCAAAAATTTGTCAACAAATTTACCAACAGGCTCATACAAGTAAGTGGAAACCTTTAAGATTTCTTGAACAAGACAAGTACATGCATTTCAAAATCGAAAAAAAAAAAGAAAGAAAAGTTTAGATTAGTTCATCATAGAATTAAAATATAATAACTGTATAAGATAAAGAAAAAATACATGTCTAAAAACCACAATTACAGGAAAAATAAATGAAACTAAAAAAGAATAAGAACTATCTGATCTCGTGCTGTCACAGCAACAAATCAAGAAGAAAAAATATCTATTTCCCTTCTCCTTCATGTCTTTGGGAAAAATACTTTGGTAAATCTATAAACAGGCAAATACATTAACATTACATAAAAAAAGAAAAAGAGTTCAATAACTTATCGGCTGATGTTCAAAGAGTACTTGGAAAAAAAGGAGCAAAAACTGAAACTAAGTAGGTGGATCCTATAATGCGTGTGAATGTGACACATGACTGTCCAAGTACACTAGACTTTACAGTTGAAAAATATAAATGTTATTGTTTTAGTCCAGCTTTAAACAACTTTCAGGCCTGACAGGATTACTCAGATGACAGCATAGTATATTACTGAAACGCATTCGTACTGTTATTTTTCCCATAGAGATACTCTACGCTTGGCACCAATAGAATTAAAAAGTGTCACGTTTCTGTAACCCTACCTTTGTTATTAAACATAATATATGTACTCAAAGCAAAGCGAGCCCTTCAAGCTGCTTATGGCACCCACGCATGTAAACCATAAATATACATAAATATGCACTTTGAAATTTAACAGATTTACATTTTACTTATCTTCCTTAAAGACACAAAACAGGTCACTTCGAAGGGGGATATAAATGTATAAGGAATTGCTTCGCTCAAGAAAAAAACAGTCACCTGAGAAAATGTTCTGTTTCAATAAGCACCACTATTTTGAAGGAAACTAACCATGCTGAAGAAAAACTTCAAACTTTTAATCTTGAAGAACTGACAAATATATGTCCACATTTCGTTAATCACACATGTATCAGATGTGATCTTTCTGCAAACAATCAAGCCTCCACAGAAACTTGTGCAATGTTACTGAATACTGACTAAAGTATTGTAATCTAAAACCATATAACCCCTCGTAAACAACATTTTTACAAAAGCCCTGCCGAACCTAATTTGTTAATTAATATTTCTGGCTTGTCTTTAAACTAAGCGTACTGCAACTCATATAAAAAACTCTTGTTCTATAGTACTTATAACATTACAAGTTCCTTCCACTTTGCAGTAATTCAATAATGAAGTAATTGGGCTGAACACCTCATATCATCATGCTTGCTACTAATAATAGGAGTGCAGATATAACCAAAAAGCTTAGGATATCATATTATGATAACTTGTGTATAAAAACAGTGATTATGATGATTGAGTTCAGGAAATAGGCGGGGTTTCGGAAAGTTTGTTTATAACAGAACAGGGGCCAAAAGTGTACGGTGCGCCCGCAGGGGTGTTTTTGCCTTAATTATTGGTGCTTGCCGGACCTGGGAATGACAAAAGTGGTAAATCCATGCCAGAGTGTACAGTTGTCCATGGACCTGACCACAAAACCGTTTGTCATGACCAATTTTTTCCAAATGCATATACTAAAGTGATATGACTGAAGCATCAAGTAGTTGTCTGTGGCATGGACAGAGCTAAAAATTATATGTTTCCCCTAATCCAAGCTCATGAAATACATTGCTCTATCAACTAAATATTTCACCCACAGAAACTAAAAACAACAATACTGGTGTAAACAGCAGAAAAGCATTAAAAATGTATGTTTCAGTGCATGTCAGTATCCTTCCTGATAATTAAATAAGCAGAAAGACCTACAGCAAAATCCTCAAATAATCCAAGAAAGAATAAACCCCTGTTTTTAAAAAAAAGTTCCCCTGTAAAGACGAACATATTATATCATCCATCTTATGCATTTCATTTGCTTATGAGGATGGTCGACCAGCTTATTCATCTTAAAAAATGGGTTTAGTGATAAGGGCAGAAAGCATAATAATGATGTAAATAATAGAAGCAACAACAGTGACTGAGACAGTGACAACAGCAAAATTGCAAATGTAGTCAATAAAGATGTACTCTGAAACAAATTTATTGATGTATTAATTTCTATGATGAAGGAAAAAGTTGACGACAAAACTTCAGAGCAATGTAACACTGTCGATCATAAAATGTAACACTGTCGATCATAAAATATATCTGCACTTCAATTACCAACATGGTACCATCTAAGAGGCTCTATAGTGGCTGAGTGGTCAGAGAGCTTGGGCTCACAAATAATATCAAGCATTCAGGTGAGAGGTCACTGCTGGTGTGTGTCCTTGAGCAAGACATGATAATCAGAGCTGGTAGTAACGGAGTACAAGTACTCCGGTACTTGTACTTACGTTACAATTTTCGGTACTTTTACTGTACTCCGGTACATTTTTTAAACCAGTACTTTTACTGTACTCCGATACTTTTTATAAAAGTACTTTTGAGTACTTTTCAAGTACATTTTCAGTACTTTTGAAGCCTAATGAAAGGGTAAGTGCTGGCATTTCTGATCATAATTTACGGAACAAACACCCAGGCGGGGACAGCCGATCAACCAAGAGTTAAAAGTTGAGATCAAAGAACGGCCCGTCGCGTCAAAGGTCAGTCACTCTTGTGAATGTGATCATACAAGCGTTGTAAAACTCCATGAAACGGTACAGTGTTTGCTCCAGACAGGATCACACCAAGGTGTGAACTGACCGATGCGTTTCTTTTCCCCAAACATCGCACTCGCATCTGAGTCCACCACCTAAACTTACATCACTCACTGGGTGGGTAGGGCCTACACGTTCGCTCCAGACGGGGTCACATCAAACTGTGAACTCTTCCCTGATCATTGAAAGCGGTTTTTCTCTATTCCCGAATTTGCGAGACAACCTGAATTTTAATTGGTGTGGTCACAACGTAAGTAAAGGCGGGTGGGGGGGGGGGGGGGGGGGCCCCATCAAAAAGGGAAAGCTAAAATTTTTGGACAGGTGAAGGGGGGGGGGGGGGGGGGGGACTAGATTAACGTAGATAAAGATCTCAAGACTCACAATAGGCTAATGAGTGTGTATATATTATATTATTTATGGCATGCCTCATGCCACTGTGATTGGTCGTCAAGGTTGACCACTATTTGCTCGCCATATGTCATAAATCCACTCAGGGGTCACGTCACGTCGGTTCATGGGTCACTGTAGATTCTTCCGTGGCTTCGTCGGCTGAGATCCCATTTTTATATTTGTCTTGCTTCCGAGCACTGGGGTCTTAGGCGGAGACTACTGTAGTAGAGAAACTTTGGTTACACTACACTTACTAGACTCTAGGAAACTATTGTATTTTGGTTTGCCGTGGGCGCCGTGGACTACACAGTGTTACCAAAATCTGTCTTACCACTATAATCAATTGAAACTGAAACTGTGTTCTCAATGTATATCTAACAATTTTTAAAAGACTTCCTAAACTACTTTTAAACTTTTTTTTTGGTTATGGTTTTTTTTGTTAATGAAGAATTCAATGCATTTTAAAATAAATTTCTATGCTGGCCATTTTCATCAATTTTATGTTTTCTTAAGAGCAACTTTGTATCTACATTTTCCAATTTGGATACTTTTTATGTAGAACTTTCCGACCTTTTGGACGGACCTACATTTGACCACATTGTCTTGCTCAAAAATTTTCCATTCATAATATCACTTACCCACTAGTTACGTCTGTTTGTTTGGGGGGGGGGGGTTTCAATTTCACCGACCATTCCCACCTTCGTTCAGTGCGTACATTGTATATTTAAATGCTTTGTATACTGTTTACATTTTTAGTAATAAATAGCCTAATTTGTCAAATATACTGGATATGTTATTCAATATTATGTTTTGCATAAGCGCTGAAGTGTTTTAGCATATAAGCAGAAAGTACTCAAAATGTACTCATAAGTACTTTTTTTAGAAGTACTTGTACTCAAGTACATTTTACAGGAAAGTACTTTTACCGTACTTAAGTACATTTTTTATATTGTACTTAAATTTGTACTTAAGTACTTTTTTAAAAGTACTTTAACAGCTCTGATGATAACTCTATAGCTCAAAAGCAGTCCTGCACAGCAATAGCGTCTTTATAAATATTATTCATATCGTTGGGATGTTGTGTTTTACGTGATATGATGCCACCTCTGAATTATCCTATGCTGTGTAAGCCAATGAGACAAAAATTTCTCCATGGGAACCAATAAAGTTATTATATTCTGTTCTACCCTTTTCTTAATGCCTCTGTATTTCAATTTCTGTTCCGTGAGAAGCAACTAAGAATGCAACATAAACTCTAGATCCATTAATAATAAACAAAGCTAAAGCATCCTAAAGTTGTTGGTAGTTTATCAAAGTATATTGTTCTTAGATTTCTATGTGAGGCATTGTGATGAAATCAGACGCTCGTCAAAATAAATTATAATGAAATCTAAGAAACCTATATTTTTCCACCGATTTGGCAGTTTATATAGAATTTTTGTTTTTTTCTGGCTCAACTCCTTCTACGTTCATTTAAAAACAAACGTGTGGATTTTACTGAAAAACACAAAGGCACAAAACATGTAAATTTTCAGTTCCCAAGGACTCTCAAACTATGGAAGTCATCAAACTTTGGAAGCCATTTCCTTGCTAATCTTAGCTCTGAAAACAGCCGACACCCACCGCCTTCAATTGCAAATATCTCAACAATTTTTTTTCAGGATAGAGATATGTATTTTTTTTTTATCGAAAGAGAGACAAATGAACAAGCTTTAAGATGATATCAATAATTCCACATGCCCAAAAATTGACGAGCGCCTGATCCCACCGCATCATGACACCCATGTATTATTAATGCATGCGGCTTTTCTCATATTTAGAGCACAGTTAGACCTTGAAAAACTCAAATTGTATTACGACAAATTACCTTCCTCAAAATTCACATCTTCGTACAGAGGTAGTGGTTATCTAGAATTGTGGGGGGGGGACATAATGCACAAATACATTATTGCACAAGCCTTATACCTGGCATGACAACACTTATGAAGAGCATCATGAGAAAAAGCTTGGCACATGTATTTCTTGACTCCATGAATACACACAAGACACATTTTACCCAATACCTTCATGCCCTTTGATCCATTTTTACAAGTCAAGTAGGTAATATTTCCATAGAGAATATTAACAAAAATATCAAGTTCATAAGCTCACAGATAAAAAATTACAATAGCCAATACAAGTACAGTGAAATCCTTTACAAGATAGGGAAATAGTAAGCTCTTCCACACAAGCTGACATCCCTGAGACCATTGCGTACAGGCAAAAAAAAAGAGGGAAAATTATACATACATGTATATTAAAAAATTCTGTTTGAAACAATATCAATAGTCTTGCATTAACTTTCAGCCAAACTGCCTGTGAGCTAAAACAATTCGAATGTTTTTTCCAGAAGAAACTTATTTTTGAGATCATATACATCCAACAAACCGGAAGCTTACATGATGAGCGCACAACCTTCTGCCATAGTTCTTACCATGTAAGTAAAAAGGTGGTTTCTCAAGAATATGCTTTACTTCGTTAACAGAAAGTTAGAATCATCATATAAGTGAGGTGAAGGTAAAAGTGGAACAAACAGACAACAGAAACTTGAAAGATCATGCTGATCTTTGCTCACTCATTAGCTAGGGATGACTTACTCTCCTCTAAATTACACAGCCTACAACATGACATCTGACCCCCAAAAAAGTCAGAATATTTGCATTCATTCTTATGCTCAGAATTTGAATTAACAAGCCATACAGTAGTAATAAGTTAGGAAGTTTGAGATGCTAAAAAATTAAAATCTGATATCCCATAACACAGGAATCAAAACAAAAAAACTTGCTTGCAAAGTGGAGATACTTTTGGTGCATTTCTACTTTTTTGTTCACCCATCCCAGAAACTTAAGTGAGCAGAGACAAGAATTGATAGTATTGTCAGTAGTAACTTGGATAGAACATCAATCCATTCACTGGTATACAATTGTATTTATACAAAATATTTCAATAAGGAAGTGACGAACTGATATAATCAGAATTCTCACGGAAAAATTCACATGCACGCTCCATGAGCCCCCTTCAAATACAGGCGCAAGAATATGAATCTACTACACATAATTCACATTTTGCACTAACATTTTTAAAAATCATATCATATACATTTAAATAATGTGTAGTAATCCCAGTGTAAATGAATGGAGCTGCTACAACGCAATAGACAGATACCTGCTGATCTCAAACACTTGAAAGACTGAAAAAGAGATTAATAGCACAGGGCGTTCATAAAGCTGTTCACAGAATGTCTGACAGCTAAATCAGACACACAAGGTTTTTAAAACATTTGAAAATGAACACTGCTATTTGGCTTTTAAATCAGGGTGCATCAAATAAAGTCAACTAAATTAACGTTGGAAAGGAAGATAGTGCTTCAAGTTTGTTGTTTAATGTTCCATGCAGAGCAAATGTGTAACAGCCTGAGACAGTAACTTTGGAGTTTAACGGCGCAGTGGGCATCATTAAATCATGCAAGTGCACAAAGCAGATAAAGACAAAAGTTTTGCTTTTTGCAAAAAAAGTCGCCATGACGCACACCACACCAGAGTAGGTCCATTCCACTACCTGCAGCCTGGTTCTACTTGAAGACAAATACACTGACAGAAAAAAGGTCACACAGCTAGAGATAAAAGGAAGATGATAGAAATAACGAAACTGAAGGAAAACTTTAAACTTTCAGGCAGCACTCTCAAATCACTAGCTAATGAAAGTTTAAAAAAAATTAATTAAGTGCGTTATATGAAAAACCATGGTATCATAAAGTTTAAAAGTGTATTTTAAAAAAGTGAAAAATTTTGTTTTTCCCGATAAAACTTTGTAAAATACAGTTATTGTTTTATTCAGAGTGACCGAGAATAAAGAAGTAAACTTATAAAAAATAAACATTTTAATAAACAGAACTGAAAAGTGATCCATGTCACCACTGACAACAAAAGTGAAACAAACTGACAAGAAAGAAAGTCAAACAGAAGGGAAATTCTGGATAGGAAAACAGAAAGTCAACAGAACAAAGAAAATATGAAGTATATCACTTAGAGTATACGTATTTGTCACATTAAGTGAAATGAAACTGTTCTTGTTTTATTCAGAACCATAAGAGGGTGCCCTTGAAAAAATGTTGTTTTTTTTTAAATTTAAAGATATGTTGTTAAAGATCAGATTAGAAATATTACTCATTAGAGCAGAAATCAAACAAAATTGGTAACTGTTTCAGCTCCAAATAAACTAAATTGAACATATTTCAAAACAGAGAAAGGTTTTAATCAATGGATTGTTTTTCTAAAATGGTGGTTGTTTGTCATCAAGCATTAGTACTGTAGTGCATGTATCGATAAGTGCAACTTGCCTTGTTTTTCTGCGTATGAGTGAAGTTTTTAAGTATGGTGAAATCACAAACAAAAAAAAAAGCATCTCCTCACTGAGATGACTTGTTAAGTAAGTAATCTAGACAGAGAAACGTAACCAAAACACTCAGGAGCGATGGTTAAGCTGTCAATGAGTAGTTCTTCAACATATAAAGATGCAATGCCACACAAACTCATTCAGACAATTGCTTTAACACAGCCACAGGATGACAGCAGCACATCCCTTACCCATCACAGAGTGGAACTGTTTTGAGGTTCTGACCATGTGGTCAGCAAAGACTCCATCGACCCTAACAAATAAATTTTAATATATACACATGCTCTACAAAAACATGAAAATTAAATGTAGACCATTTTTTTACAAACTGGGAAAAAAAACCCTGCATATTTTGTCACTGTAAATCCCAATGATAATTTCTACCAGTAAAGGATTTGAAACTTTTTCTGACAGTAATACCATAATAATATATTGATTACTTTTACGAAAGAAGAATCGACCCAGCTGGTTTGTGAAAGTAGAGTACAGTACTGTCAGTAAATTACCTTACCATTATTACAAGTTGTTAATATCTATTCGATCTCTGAAGAACCAAGGAAGCAGCCTCACGCAGAGAAAAGTTTGGAAAATAAAAAACTAAAGTTTGAAGACACTTGAACGACTATCAAAGCATACAGTAGAATGATATAACAGCTTCAAAGTCTCTTTTGCTGACTGGCCGAGGAACACAACAATCGTTAATTTCTTGTTTTATTTGGTGCAATTATAGTTTTTAAAAAAGCAAGAGAGACAGTCTTTCTGAAGTTTAAAGAAAATTTGTCAGTTCATTCCAAGTGATGCAGTTAACATGCATCAATATGCAGACTGTTAAGAACAAACATGTGCACTCATTCCTGCACAGAAACAGAATGTAGTTTTCTTGAGCATACAAGTCAAAGCATGCTGCAATCTATTTCATGGGAGAAAAAAGATGAAAAGGAAAAAGTGGAAGACATATTGTGACAAACTTAAATTGAATTTTTAGTACCTTGACTGCATTCAAATTCAACCAGGCTGGCTCTACAGTTCTTTTGTTACATGAAAATCCCCCAAAACAACAGCCCAACCAGTGTTCTTTTGACCACTTTGCACAAATAAAATGAAGTGTAAACAGACATTTGTGAAGTCTTTATGAAGAATTGTTTCAAATCGGTCACTGTAAGCACACAGAGGATACAACTTTCCAGATCAGTCAAAGCGCCAACAGACAAATCCAAATACACGGAGGAAAATAGAGGCACCTTTGAGTAACCACACACTTTCTCCCAAAATACTACTAGAAAATGCAAATCCCCACAGGTCTGAAAAAAATAATAATAAAAGAAAGTCAGTGTTTACATAAATGATCAACATTTAGATGCCATTAAACTTATGGGAACACAAATACAAACAAGGATTATTATTTACTTACTGCTGGATTTTTTCTTGTTTTCGTATCTCACAGTTTTGGCTCTCCTGGCTAATGTCTTCCTGGCCATCAAGCCATTGCGTATGATCAAAGGTTGCTCAGAGGAAATCTTTGCTTCTGCAGCAAGATCTTCAAAGAAATCTGAAAATTACATTTTTAAAATTATTTGTCTAAAAGCCACTCTTAACGAGAAAGATGAAGTCAGTACTATCTATATACAATTAAAAGAAAAAAAATTACTTTTCATGCTACTTATCATTGTCATTAAATACTTTGCTTCTGCTTTTTTGTTATTAGAATAGAACCCACTGATTAGGAGCCACAGACAGAAAGCAATGAATGAATTTTTGTATAAATCTTTTAAAAATAATTCTCAAATATCCTAAGCACCTTAACTATCAAGGCTGAATATAATCTAAAGAGTCCTTATTACACTAACCATTCTCTGCAACTGAGTGAACATACATTTATCCTTTTCAACTTATTAAATCAGCAGCACAAGACAACATAAAAAGGAACAATCATTCATGAAGCAACAAGCTGTTCCAACCTTTAAGTTTGCGAACACTGCAGGTCATCTCTTCCTTTGCCTCTGTCTCAATCCTGTGGGACTGGGAGGTGACAGCTCTGTCAAGACTTGTCAAAGACTTCTCAGCCTCTTTCAGCCTTTCCTCTGCAGAAATCCTGGCACGGATTTCCTCCTAAGGACAGAGAGTATGAAAAAAACCCTCAGGAATTGTTATTCTAGGCCTATTGTTACAAACACATTAACTATTTTCACAGAAAGTCTCCATTGTAATATTCTTTTTAAAAAACAAACCAATAGTACAGTCAAACGTTCTCTGATGTTTTTTGGGGGTTTTTTTTTCTTCAGTAGCAAAATATTTTGGTAAGGCATGTTATTCAGGTTTAATGCCCCTTTTCACACAGCGAGTTTACCTTAAAGGTGTCTGAAAGAAAAGAACAAAGAGAGTGGAGGAGAGACAAGAAAAGTCCTTAGCAGTGTCAAAGTTCAAAAATGTCAAACAGGGAATTCAAACTAGGATCACTCACAATAATCCAAAACAATACTGAGCCACCTACACATAAATCATGTTTTTGAAGCTACACCAATGAACGTATAAGTGGAGAGGAACTAAAGAGTACTGAGTAAAGTGTCAGGAAAAGAAAAATATGAACACAAGACATATTATAATAGCTTCATTGTCAGGCCGATCTACCTTTCGGGATCAAAAGTAGTACAAAAATCTTGATACATAAAGCGAGCAACTATAGTAGTAACTAACGGTGTTCGTACAAAGTCTGAGAATAGAGAGCAAAGATTGAAATCTAGGACTATCCAACAAAATATTTACAAGAACTTTAGCAAGAGTTGTTTCCCTGTACAGTCTTACACTTATGCAGAGAGGCAGCCTCCTTTAAAGGCTTGTAAAGCTTGTTTTAAGCTTAGTATGCATTTTACGGCGGTACCTGCAACACAATATTAGGTCATATAAGTGCCAAAGGTTAGAGATGTTACAAAAAAATTGAAAACACAAAAAAGAAGGAGGAGAGATAAGGATGATATATGTTTGATGGAAAAGAAGGAGTAGGCTTGTAAAGATTTGGGATAATACCAGTCCGTGTAAGTGGAGCCTGTCAAAAAAAACGCACGAAGTTTTAGACTTGGGAGATTCTTTCAGGTTTTTTTACAATGTATAGAATACATTATGAATTACAGACAGCACTAGGATTTATACAGAGAAAGAAAGACGATTTATATATTGACAACCATTTAAGAAAATGTGTTGTTTCTGAGGTCAGTCGGACGTGCCCTTTTCCTGCTCTAATCTGTTTCTGAGGTAAGCAAATCCGAAGAGAGAGTATGAAGCACCACAGAGAGAGAATATGAAGCAGAGAGTAAATACCTACAGCAGAAAAACAGAAGCAAATAAAAGAGAGACATGAGTACCTTCAGTTCTCTCTCAGTCAGTTCTTTTTGAGATACCAGATCATGAATGGTGGTTTCAAGCTCATGAGCATGCTGAGAGATTGTAGCTTTCTCTTCCTCTAACTGTTCTAATCTTTCTTCATTGTCTTTCAACCTGTTGACACAAATCATATACCACAATGAGGAACAGAACACGATGTGAGAAAATTTGACTTTTTTCCAAACTCTTCCCCAAAGAAAAAGATTACTGACTTATCAGAGTCCATATGACCATACGGGTAGGCTCTGGAGTTGTTGAACACCTTTACATTTTTTTTAAGTGTTACAATTTGGCTAATCTACTTTATTTCGCAAATCTACTTCCAGATCAAAATATAAGACAATATCAACAACAAATTTAGATAAAAAGAGAAAACAATATCACCAACAAAAAGAGTACACCTTTGGTCAAAATACTGTTCCTCTATCACTCAACCGGGACACTAACCTATCACTATAACATGAAGAAATTTATTCACTCCTTATCTCCGGCAAGCCGCTCCCAGCGGCTCGCGGTTGGAACAACTGTGCAAGTGAGCCGCTGGCAGCAGCTCGGGCACATTCCTTTATGACTTCAACATCAAAGTACTTTTCGTGCTAAAAACAAGTCTATTTTACTGGAATTTCATTCATTAGATGAAGAACTATCAAAATAGGTTTGTTTGTTTTGATTGAAAGATCAAACTAGTGATGTAAATGTCAATTTTAGATTTTGAACCAAAATAGAGCCCCAACATAGTGGGTTTACCCCCCCTCAGAGATAAAGAGTTAAGACACCCACCCTCTAAAACACAGCATTAGGCTGAACAATAAATGCTCAAAGGATGCTAGAATTAAAATAACTAAACAACAACAACAACAGTACATGGAGTATTCTATCAAGAAAGAGACATTCTTCACTTAAACTTTCTAAGCTCAACTTTCTAAAAAGACTGAAAATTGGAGTTCTCAAAACAAGCTTTTTGGTCACACCCACCGAAGTTCAGCATCAGTTCTATCCTCCTGGACAGCTTGTGTTTGGTTTTCAATGTCAGCCAGTTGGGCTTGCAGCTCCTGAGAGCGCGCAGACAAAGAATTCCGTTCCTCAGCCAGGCTGCTCTGTTCTGCCATGCTGTGATTTAACTCTTTCAGAATGTGCTGCTTGTCTTTGTTCAGGCTCTGGAAATAAATAACAAACATTCACAAATAAAAAATTGCTTTTGTCGCTGCTTTTGCTGTCCCGAGATTTACAACAAAGCGGCAATAAACAGTAGCCGCTTTTCCCCAGAAAGGAACTTGGAAAAAAAGCAATACCGAAAAAGAAGTAAAAGAAACTAACCGTATTTAAGCAACCGTCACCCACATAAACAACACCAGGATGTTTCTTCTATTATTGCTGTATTACCAAGTACCACTAAGATGCAAACAAAAGAAAAAGATGTTGGTTTGATAAAATCATGATGGCTGTAAATGGAACAGAGGACAGGAACAGAAAATAAATTCACAGCTTGAGAGATATCGTGAAGCCATCATGCAGAGAGCTACCAAGAGACATCAGGCCTAAGCCCAACTTGCAGACATTGTGTAAAAATGTGCAAAATTTTATAGGTTTAATGCCCCTTGCAAAATTGTAAGGTTACCTTAGGGGCATTACAACCAAATTTAAAATCTGTCTTTAAAAGAACTGAGCTAAATTGGAAAATCCATGTAACATGCCTTTCCCAAACACACAACATTGGACAGAGCTGAGCCTTGAACCGCGGAACCCACAATCTCATTATTACGAGTCCAGTAGCCTAACCATTAGACTACAAATGCCACATGCAGACATTGACACAGTAGTGAAGTAAATACAAAGTGTAGTCGTCGTTTATAATAATTCATTGACTCATTCATTATGTCTCACTGCACACAGCATCGCTATGACGCAACTGCAGGTGCAACAGCCACTCACCCCATCATTGCTGTTGTTCCCAGTTTTAGGTGTACTTAATTTCTATTCATCTTATGACCTTTATCTCACATTCTGCTTAAATTCTGTATTCAATTCTCTAGATTTCTCATTAAGTACGCCAGATCAAAATATAAGACAATATCAACAACAAATTTAGATAAAAAGAGAGTATAATCCTGGGTATAATCCCTGTAAAGTATTTGACATGCATACATTAAAAACCATTTGCTAAAAAAAAAAAAGGTGACATAATAACTAATCAAGGCATACCAATTTTTGGTCTTATGCCACTTTATCAGAGCTGGATGTTTGGCATCTTTCCTTCACAAAAAGTTCATTTATGTTTGGAGTAAGGTTCTGTGTTATGGAGATTCTCAGGATGGACAACCTAAAATTATCTTGCGGGACAGATTAAAAAGACCCTGGGCCCAATGAGGGCCTTGAGTTTGACATCTGTGGTCTAGTCCAGGTCTTTCATTACTTTTCAAGAGAGGCTCTTGTGCCTTAGAGGTATGGAGTTCGCCTCTCATTCAATAACTCCTGGGTTAAAAACCTGACAGCAACAGAAAAAGTCCTTCTCTAAAAATGTTCTCCTTTCACTTCTTCTCCTGCTCTTATCATGCTCTTTCATCTGCTTTCATCTTAACTTTCTACCCACCTTCTCCCCTCCTCTAGGCTCCTGACCCTTTCTACAGCTACTCCTGGCTCCTTCTTACCACTGTCTTTCAGCAACACCCCTGATCTTAGGATAGGCCAAATCTAATACCTAGCCTTCTCAGAAAAGGGCGAAAAAATCTTGGGAGGTCCCGTACGAAAGTTGCACACGTTTAAGATCCCTTGGTGGTCCTGAAATCCATAAGAGTAGGATTCGGCCACTACTCTGGCAAAATTCAAAATTAATTCCCACCAAACTAAAAATGCTTAATGTGTACCGTGCACTCATATAACCTTATGCAGTTGTAAGCGCCGCAAAACACTTACTAAAAAAACAGAAAAAATTCTTCCTCACCTCCAGCTGCAGTCTCTGTTCCTCCAGCGTTTGAGACAATGTCACCCTGTCGTCTTCAACCTGCTTCATGAGATCAGCTGTTTCTGTCATTTCACTGGATTTTTTAAAAATATAAAGAATGATATTGTTAAAATACAGAAAAACTCTTAATTGTGTTCAGCATTTCCATAAGCCTCGTGATTTAATGGTTTGGCTCTTCATCTATGAAGTAAAAGGTGTGGGGAGACAATACCTCCACCATTTTACTATAATAATTATAATAATAATAATAATAATAATATATAATAATAATAATAATAATAATAATATTAAGCGCTTCACTGTTGCTCGGCGTACAAAGTATGTCCATAAATCGGGCCCTCCTTTGCGCTGTAGACGTACGGTGTACGCCCGGCAATACCACTTTTTTGTTTCGTTTCCTAATCAGCCGGTAATTGCAATATAGTATCGAGAAAGGGCTCCTATGAAAGCTCTTTTCTTCCCGAGTTAGAGAAGCTTTAGTTTGCCCTAGTCAGACCAAAAATGAGAGAAATAGCGCAAATTATAGCATCATTCCCTCTTCACAGTTCTAGCATCTCACTCTAGCTCCGAGCTATGGCTAAACACTCACAATGTATGTTCTCAACGTATCAAGCTGTTGAATAAATTTTTGCTGATATGAGAGCGGTTCATTCCTTTTTCTTTAAAATGATAGACACTGTAGTGTATTTGATGCATTACCACAGAAAAAATAGCACTTTAAAAGGAACACCCCTTTGAAGTGCTATTCCTGGTAACAAAGTCAGCATAGGGCGGAGAATATAGGTCAGCAGTGAAGGGATTGAATAAATACTAAATAGCATTTGTACAGCGCATACCCCCGCTCAACAGCAAGTTCTACGCGTTTTACACTATATTATTACTCCAGCAGACCATAGAACACTCAGAAACATTCTCAGCTTCCCTAGAAGCATACAGTGCAAGCACCTGATCAAGCACTCAAACACTAACAAACTGACAAGATTTTTCACTGTCTATAGCTGGGAACCCATTCCCACCTGGGTGAAGTGAGGAAAATTTATGTAAAGTGTCTTTCCCAAGGACATAACATTGGGCCCCTGACGGGATTCAAACCTCCGACCTTACCGTTGAGAGTCCGAGAGCCTAACCACTAGGCCACCAATGCTACATCGTAAACATGTAATAAACACGGCATATCCCACATTGGTTCTCAGAGGCATAGTCAAAGTCAAAGTCAAGCAGCCCGCCTCCTAAATGATTTGCATAGTGCCAAATGGAGCAAAAAACACTTATAATCATCTACAATCAAATAACAGTGAACATACATAAACTTGATAGATCTGGAACAGAACTTGTCGTTTCTTTATGCAACTCAAAAAAGTTAACACCAAAAGAGGTGAAAGGCAAAATAATAATACCTAAAACTGTTTAGAATTAACAAGAGCCAAGAGCAAAAAGGAACTGATTCTAATATTTCCGTGACACTGAAGTCCTTCATCATAAGTTTACCTTTTTATTTTCTCATATTCTTCCTGAATCTCCTTTGTAAAAGTTTCAAGCTTTCGCTTTTCTTTTTCAAGTTCTTGATTTACTTTCTCCAGCTCCTGGGGGAAAAAAGGGAAAGATAAACAATGAGTCAGTAAATTTTTTTTAAAACGATATAATTTTTCTATTTAATCAACTTAATTAATTTTTTGGGGGGGAAGGAATTTGTCTTTTTAAAAAAAATGTATTCTGTACAGTTTATTGTGAAAGCCATGGGCTGCATTTTCACTGATATCCACCTCAGGTAATGTCATGGGACTACCAAATAAAACTATACCATAAAATGTTAACGTGAAAAAAAAATTTCGTTTATATAATAGCAAATTAAGGCATACATGTACATCCGTAACATACTCTACCCCAGACCACAACGCTAATTTTTTTTTTTTTACCTCTGATCGCATCTTTTCCTCAGAAAGAGCCAGTACCTCTGATTGAAGACGATCTGTAACAAACATTTCTTTACATGAGAATTTTGCACATCTAATATAAGCAAAAATTAATTTTCCGGAATATTTTTTATTTGACTGCAATATTTTCCATCACTAAGAAAAGGAATCAAAGATTGAAATTCTGCAAATTAAAAATTTAAATAACAATGTCAGTTTCAAATAGTAGGTAAAGAACTACAAAAACAAAACAAAAATCTTTTAATCTTTTTTTCAAATTACCTTTTAACAACCCCCCCC